ATAAAATTAATTAATTATACTTTTAGATAGAAATATATGTGATTATTTACGATTGTTAATATTAATCTAATTCTTATTTGAATGTATTAATATATTTAATACATTTAACAATTATTATATTACAATAATAACATTATTACTTTCTATTATAATCTAATTATTTCAGCAATATTATTTTGATTTAATATACATTTTTATCCGTTTAATAAGATGTCGCATTACTAAATAAATTTCCCGCACAGACCTACGATCATGTGACCGCGAATTAGATAGTCATGTGATCGCAAATAGCTATTCGCTGATCAGTTCATCTCGGGCAGTGCTAGCGTACGGGTGATTACAGTCGCTCCGCGTTTTACATTTTCTTTTACTCATTTTTTATCCCAAACAAATTTCGCATATAAACAAATATTAAAAACACCGAATTTAGCAATAGGCGATTGTCTCAGTGCGATTGTCTCAGCTCATTTATTTGCGAACTTGCGAGATAAATGTGTGTTTTTCGATATTTGTAAAAATGTTTTCGGCGCGTTCCGAAAGCTTCGTTTTCTAACACACACGTCTTACATATTTCAGAGAGTTATCACGCGTCTGATGAACGTCGAAAGACCAGCATTCGGAGCATTGAAGGATTATCACGGTACACATCAATCGAAACTAATAATCTCGGTTGTCGTGATATTCGTGTAAAAATCAATGATGGCGTCGATTCGTTATACTTTGATGCCGTCTACCGGCACGCGGTAGTTTTACTTCGGTCGGTCGACACGGCGCCATTACGCCGCAAAATTGCTCTGTCTTTTCACTCGTCTCGGGTGAAGTTCGTGTACAAACGAGCATCGGTAATGGCGAATTTGACGACAAACAATTGTCTCAGCATACTAATTTATCTACGAGCTCACAATAAACATTCACATCGATGTCCGTTGCGCATTCTAGAAATTTATTTTTTGATACGTACGTCTTGCATATTTTGGAATGTTTATTCGTTCGAAGCATCGCGAATGTCGGTATATAAAGTATTATAAAATATCAAAAAACTTTGGAGGATCACTACGATGCATAATCGAGATAAATAAGCCTGTTTGTTTACGTGATATTCCTGGAACTGGTCAATAGCGACTCTCATCACTCTGCTATGTTTGTGTCGACGTCGCGCCGATTCTCGGAATTTCTACGCTGCTCGACGGGGTGCGTCGCGATCAGGAGTGTCGAATGAGTTTACCAGCGAGTATTCACGTGTGTTGTCTATTCGCTCGCTCGACGTTTTTTTTTAATATTCGTAACGGATATCAGTCGCGTAGTATCGCCGCTCATCTGAAAAATTTGTTTAACCAATAATTCACGCGTTTTACATTGTGTACTGTGCGAGTGTGAAGAAACGTCTGTAGTACCGAATAAATCTACGGACAATCAATTTAATCTGTCAATTATTCCGCTCGACCGCGATCGAATCCGTTTTTCTATTTGTCCAAGTTCCGTTGAAGTAAAATGTATTGACACACGTGTCACATTATTCCGCATTATTGGCGAGTGTGATTGAACAACGCGAGTGTAACGGGAGTGTATCGAGCAACGTGAGTGTGTAACAAATGCATCGAGGAACATCAAGGAGCACCGAGGAGTAATCGAGGATCATCGTAACAGATTAATCCAGAGATCAATCCGACTATGTTGCTGTTCGTCTCCAACATTCGGTGAGTACTCATTAATTATTCATTATAACATTATATTGTTATTTCGTAATAATAAATATACACGCACATACACAAACATACAAGTAAGATAAAGTTTATTGTTGTCAAGCTGCACATTAATTAAAACTAATTTCAATCTTGCCACTGCATTATTATTAAAGTTTTCGTATCGAAAAGTATTGAAAAACTAAGAGCCGGTTGTTCCAACTTCTCGGTAGGTTTACCCGTCAGTTATTTATTAATAAATATTGTTATTACCAAGAGTAATTTTATTTGGTATTCCCAATCGCCGAGTAAAGATTACTAATATTTATTAATAGGTGGATAAACCTATTAAGATGTTAGAAAAATCGGCCCTAATGCACGGTTCCACCAACGTAGATTAACTTTAATCTCGGTTCAACTTACTCTTCATCTTTTTCTAGTTCTAAGAATTAGAAACTAGAAAAGATTCTTAGAATTAAAAAAAGATGAAGAGTAAGTTGAACCGAGATCAAAATTAATCTACATTGGTGGAAATTGGCATAAGAGAATCAAATTAAAAAAAAAAAAATGAGCGGTTACATTTCAAATACTGAAACGTATTCGGAAATATACATGTTATTATCGGTTTGCTATCTATAACGTTCTTTAGTTGAAGCTGATATTCCAATTAGTTACACAACAAATTATAATTAAATGTTGCTGTATTATGAAAGAGAAAGATCAAATTTGCCTATATATTATCGGTACAATATTCGCATCAATTCCTTTGGATATGCGCGCATTACGTATGTATGTGTGTGGGTGTATAAGCGGATATTTAAATAAAATATGTCAGAACACAGATCATGTAGCGAAAACACACGAGTTTTTCGAGCAATGCAAATTACGTCAATCTACTCGCTCATGACAGATTTACGATGAACCGAATATAATTTCATTTGCATATGAAGGCATTTGTATCTTTTACAATTTCCCTTAACATGCGCGATATGAATCAACAAGGATAATTTTATTTATTTTAACATTTCTTTCCTCTAGTATCAAATAATTAAATGATCAATTAAATAATCAAGTAATTAATATTAAATAATTATTCATATAAGCATATAATTATTCACATAAGCATATTAATATAAAAATGTTTGCAATCAAATTACAAAAATGTTTTGTGGAAAAATAGCAATAAAAATTTTATTACAAATATCGTATGTTTTTAGTTGCAATAAAGTATTATGCAAGATACCAATTGTATTTGTTAATAACAAATTTTTAAGGTTATTTGGAAAACAAAAATTATTTGCAAAGATTTTTGTTTCCAAATGATCTCACAAATCTACTATTAACGGGTAATACAGGGACATCCTGTATATCTTTTGAAATAATAAAATTTAACGAAGCGAGCAAACAAACAAAACATTATTTAATTATTATATGAAATTAATCGTCATATGAAACTGCACGTGGAAAATTAAAAGATATTTAATTTTTAGGAATGTTGAAAAGTATTTGTAGACTTGTAAATTATGTGCATGCTTTAGAATGAAAATTTTGATATATATATTTTTATTTGCAATATATGTTTATTGGTATAATATATCGACATAATTAAATTAATATGGATATTCAATTGTTTCGTGAAATTGTGTCATAAAAGATTTTCGCGAGAGAAATTTAGGTGACACACACTATTCAAAAACGTCGACATTTATTTCCTCTTGTAAAGTCTCTTCCGCGCAATAATTTGTCATACTCACGCGTGCTTTATTCCCTTTTAAGAGCTTTCGCAGTTTTTGATGGATCGCCACCTACTCGTGAAATTGGGTCACGAGAAGCGTGCAAATTTGCTCGTTAGCGTTTATTAAGTAGAAAATTACGGTGATAAATTTCATAGAAAAATTTTGTCTGCGAAAATTTTTTCTATTGTTTGTACATTCTTATTCGCGAATATTTTCAATAGATCGACGATGAATGAAACAATCTTGAAAATACCGCATTCTTTTTTTGCTTGTCTTGTTTCGCTCTGTATATCTCAACTTTCCACGCTGCTGACTTACGCGCCTATCAAGTTTCGATCGTTCCGCTTCCGAGCTGCACGATTTTTTGTTATCTTCGGCACGGAGATGTCGTATTATCACAGAGCGATGCAGCGTTAGCAAATACTGCTGGCATGATATTCTGATTTTTAAACTGCAATTGAACTTGTATGTGTGTAAAGTTTTTTACGCAATCAAATTGCGTGTATATGTTGCACACATGCACACGATTTCCTTAAAAATAAAATACTTTAATACAAAATTTGTCGCAGTAGATTTTAAAACATGTTATTATTATAAAAAAAGTAATATTTGTTATTTTATAACAATAATATGGAGATAAATATTATAACCTTAAACAAGTAAAGTATAGACGTTATGATACTTTTTTATACATATTTACAATTTAATTTTAATTTTGATTTAATTTGATCAATTATACAATTAGATTTTTCTCTCTTTTTAGAAAAAATAGTCGTAAATAAATCTAATTCGCTTTTGTCAAGATTATGTTAGTTTCATGTTACGGATATCTAGCTGCGTGCAGAACACAGATATCGCATGCGCTATTAGTAATGTAGCCTATACTGACTTACTTATTACATAATATAATTATATCGCGTGTGCGCGTGATAAAGTTAAATTATTTAAGAAATTATTATTATTATATCGATATAAAGCACACATAAATGTTTCCATTTTCCTCACTAATTTTCAAAATTTGTTATTTGCATATATTTCGATTAGCGTTCGTATCGCAGTAATTAGATTGTAATTCATGCAAAAGAAACTTTTCACGGAAGGATCTTATAAGATCACGTAAAAGTTACATATAGTATAAGAAGAAAAACATGAAGTTATATTTCCGTTCTTTTATTAAAGAAGTAGGTTAACTACCGACAAAGACACTCCGCTTTCTCTGCGATTTTCAGTTAAAAATTCGCGAGATTCCATTTAGCCAAAGAAATTAGAAAATAGTCTTATCTTGCCTGTTTTAGCGTTATATATATGCGTGGCTAACAAGATCAAATTTGATCATTTTAAAGTGGTGGAAAATTTTGCACGAAATTCTGCGAAATTGAAATTTTTATGGTGTAAAAATTCTCTCATTTGTACGCAGTTCTTATCAATAGTAAGTAAATCATTAATTATGAATAAAATTAATTATATGCGTGTAATTTTAATTTCTATAATTATTGTTTTGAGAACTTGCAAAATTAAAAAAAAAATGCATTACGAACGGTAAAACATTTGATGTAGCAATTACAATTCGGCCGCATAACTGCTTTCCCAAGTCTATCTCGCTCGCCACATTATAATCATAAGAATGATACGGAGTTGAACTACAGTGACAGTCTTTTGAGTTTTCGCATTTGATGGTCGGCGTCGCACGACTATAATCATAACGCGCGTCTTATCGGACTCGCTTAGGCACGATAACTAGAGGCAATATCGTTAGTGGGCGATACTTTCGGACGGACGAAAGGGTCGTCGAGAGACGCGGAAACGAAAGAAAGAAAGCATTGAGTTTCCAAGCGCCCGTTAACTTCTACCACACTCGGCATTTAACTCTTCGATGTAACCGGCCATTGAGAAGGACGATTTATATCTCGTTATGTTCCACCGTGGGCGGGGAACACCCTTGTTCGCAGCCCATGGGAAAAGTGGCCTCCTAAGGTACATTTCGTGCTCCCTAATCTGCGTACTGCGGGACCCTTCTTATCTCGCGCTGTCCTTCTTTACTTGTGTCCCCTTTCCGCGCACTCGCGGTCTTTGTCCGTCTCACTCTTATTGCGCGCCTTTCTACTCCACGACCATTTCCACGAAAGTATCGTCGAGAGACTCGAGGAATCCGCCTCTCCCTCCACAGCGAGAGAAACAAACGAAACTCGGCGAAATCGTCTTTGCTGTAGGGCCGCGCCTCCTTCTCTCTGGCCTCCTCCCCTCGCCCATCCTGCCTCGTTGCTCCCGCTTCTATGCGGCGAATTCGTTTTCCGCGAGGATGAAAGAAAAGCTCCGTCGCTGTAGACGACCGGCACCAAAACGAGAAAATTTCTTTACAAATATATGTCTTTTGGGCTTACTTTATATCTATGAGAGACTCTCTCAGGTTATATAAGCGTAGTGAGAAGATATGCCTTCTTTGTATGCGATATCAAGAATACACGGATTTTAATGTATATCTTGGAATATGTAACTTGTGAAAACGACAGTATAAAAACCACATGTATTTATGCTTTCTGTACACGCAGAAAATTATAATACAGATGTGTTTTACTTTTTATACTTTTATTTAAAATAATTTATATTACGATGCATCTTTTGATATGTTTTTTTTCTACATAAATATGTTTAATAAATTTATTATAAAAAGCGTTGCGTATTTCAATCTCGCTTTTGCATATCTCATTTACGTAATATAATAAAATCTGCGTTATTTACGTTTTATTAAAAAAATTGTCGTTTTATTGCAAAAATTATTTTCATCCCTTCTCGGGATCAGTTTGTATTTTCTACTGTCTCGCTTTTTTTCTCTTGTTGTAAATATAAAGCCATAAAACACGTTACATTTCGGACAGTGGTAACAACGATGACAGTCGTGAATGAAGAGAAAGAAGAAAAGGAGCTCTTGTTTATACAACTACGAGCGCCACGGCGCTCGCTATCGAAGAAAACTCGATATCCTTCCACGCCTCGATTCCGATCTCCTTTGACCGTTCGCTTTTACGTACGTACGACTTCCGTACGGGACTACCTCGCTGCAAACGAGTTTTCGAGTTCCTCCCTTGTGGGTAAAAGGGGATCGAGGAAATTCCACAGGTTGTCCCTTCTTCGGCAAATGCCAGTGTTTGTTCCTTTCGTTTGGTGCCGCGCTTATCGGCCGTATCACTGGCTCGGGGCAATGCCTGTTTGAGAAGATCAAGAAACCAGTCGTACGGTTGCGAAAATCCCATTTTCCCGACCGGCTCTTTGAATCCATAC